TATTTTTATTATTATTTACTTTGTATATTAATTATTTGTCTGACAAAGATCTCAAGCAAAAACTTCTTCTAAAAAAGAGAAGAGATTGTTCAATAGCCTGAAAGACGGGTGAAGGAAATAGGGCATAAATATTATGAGAATGCTCAGTTCTAGGGCTGAGAATAAATGTATGGCTGAGAAAATGTGGCTGTAGAACTGAAAAGAGAAGACTACATGAGGTATTTTTCTAGCCCTTATCCTTCCCTAAATTTACAAGGTGCTTTCTTACAATTCAGGCTGGATTTCCACCTGGAGTTGTGAACATTGTGCCAGGCTTTGGACCCACCGCTGGAGCAGCGATTTCTCACCACATGGATATAGATAAAGTAGCTTTCACAGGCTCTACAGAGGTACTATAATGCATGCAAGAAAATATGAGCAGGAAATGTGTCCCTTTGATTCCCAACAATGATTTAATGTCTGACTTGTTCTATGTAATTATTTTATCTCTTTTCTTTCTTTTGGCTGCTGGTTTGCTAAACAAAGTCTGTTTAATGATTTGTTGGCTATGATTAACTTCAAACATATTTAAGCAATGTTTGTATTGCTGGAAAGCTCTTCATCAAAGGCAGTCCATGAGATACAATATGTTATAGTATACCAAGGCTATTTTAAGTCTTATTCATTTTAAACAGAACATTTTCATTACATTGTTTGCATCTTTTTAAAGGAGTTCTGTTCTCTTTAATTTTAATAACAAGAGAGTAGTAAGAATCTCATTCCTGGTTTTACACACACTTAGGTGAGGTGATGGCTTTTTGGTTCTTCAGTGATACTTACGATCGTCTGGGTGGTCTTAGAGGTGTATTTGAATATATATATATTAGTTTAACAACTAAAAGGAAAGTTACTGTTAATTTTCCTTTTGCTTCCCTCTGAAGAACTGTGAATAATATAATTGAAGATTTCTCAGTGCAGGCATTATATAGCTATATCCTTAACACAGTGCATTATATTGTCTGTCTGCATAGATGTTAAATGGAAGAACTGCTATCTGGTCTCTTAATTTCTTGGATACAGACTCCGAAGTTAAACATCATTGCCTTATGTCAGGGATCAGAATACACTGATTGCAAGAGCTGTGTTTACTCTTAGAAACCTTTAGCTCTAAAGTAATGTGCAAACAACCCAAAAACCCTGACATCTGTGAAATATCCTACAGGTGTTCCCATAGACAGTAACAACTACAGTTCCCAGTGCCCCATGACCCTCCAAAGGCAGATTGATCAGAGGATGTATTCATACATTTTGGTGACTCTCCTCCCCTGGCAGTCTAATTTAGCAATAAGAAATGATGGCAAGGAGGCTGTTAGAGGAAGGAAGTTTATCTGACGATTGCTTCACATAGGCAGCTACAAACCAAAGCCACAGAGCCTACCAGCATGTTTTCCCTTCACTTTTTCCAGGGTAATTCATATCAAGTGTCCCTTTAATGATGTCATCAGTAGAAATAAGCAGGGTAGGAGTTCTGCCTCACAGTGTCCATTTCCTCCTTTTCTTTCTTCTAGGAGAGAAATTGAAATAAGGAGTGTCCATGCAGGCAGTGTAGATTCTCTCACACACTTTCTGCCATCAAAAGGCTTTCCCACGTATAAAACACAGGAATTTCCACAAATGGGAGTAACTAGCAGAACAGAAATCAGTGCCAACTTTAGATTTAGATTACAGATACATGCAAGTAGAGTGGTGGTAACCAAAATATATCTTTGACAATTAACCTGAATGTGACCACAGGAAAACTCTTTCAGAAAACATTTCTTGTTTGTAGGCTAAAAGTCACCTGCACCCTAACTCTTCCTTTCAATTTTTGTTTTTAAGTTATTTTTCATTTTATTACTGGGATAGTAGTCAAATGTGAACAGATTTTCACTTTTAAGGAAGTTAGTTAAGAGGAATATTATATATAATGAGCTTTTTTGAGATGAAGCTGACCTCTCTCTATGTTTTAGGTTGGCAAACTGATTAAAGAAGCAGCAGGAAAGAGCAATCTGAAGAGAGTTACCTTGGAACTCGGAGGAAAAAGTCCTAACATTATATTTGCGGATGCAGATTGTTAGTAGCAATTTTACTATATAAAGTACTATTTTTGCAAGTCCAATGTTCTTTTTCTTTTCTTTGTCGGTAAATTATTGAACCTGTTTAATGAAGGAGTAATTGTTAATGTTTTCTGATCATGACATAGTTTTAAGTTAGTTTGCCGTCAAATATTGTTGGTTCATTAATGGATATGGACCTCTGACAAGATATCCACACTTGCTGTAATTAAGGATCATTCTAATGCAACACGAGTGCAGAACTAAAAGCAGCTAAATGGATCTTATACGGGTTTATTAACTTTCTAGCTGAATAATCCTCTTGGTACTGCTGATAAGGCAAAGAATGTTGAATCTACATTTCACATAGAACAGCTGATCATGTGTTTAATTAGATTTGTTTTGTTATACTTGATATAATTTGGACATAAGTAAATGGATGTGTATCTGTGTTTCAAATGGCCATAAAAAATGCTAAAAAGGGAAATGAGATGGAGTTATAAAGGTTAGTAAAGAGTTTGCGATGTGAAAACTTAGGTGTATGATCTGATGAACTCTGCATTTCTTTGCAGTGGACTCTGCTGTGGAATTTGCACATATTGGTCTGTTCTATCACCAGGGACAGTGTTGTATAGCAGGATCTAGGATTTTTGTGGAAGAGCCTATTTATGATGAGTTTGTTCGCCGGAGCATTGAAAGAGCAAGGAAGTATACACTTGGGAATCCTCTGTTGCCTGGTGTACAGCAAGGCCCTCAAGTAAGTAATGTCATGTGTTTCCCACCTAATTGTGTCATGACATCAAAATTTAACCTACTTCTAAAGCAGTAGTTTCAAGGCTAAGTACAGCTTTCTAGTGGTTAGTCTGGAGGACGATGAGGAAGAAACTTGATTATTTTTTGTGCCACTATCATAGGCCTAAGGGTGAGGTTTCTTTCTCTTTTCTAGTTTCTTTTATTATTGAAGGGGAACAATTATAAAGATCATATAATCATCAATGTCATGTTAGAGATCACTAACTTTACACTTGAATAATGCCAGTGTAAGTGAATAGCTTGAGGAAATCAGATTTTTAGTCTTTATCCCTTTTTCAAGGTGCTAGACTTTCATTATGCTGCTCAGAGTTTTAGAATATTACACAATTAAAATGCAATTTTTTTTTTCTTTCTTTTGTTGAAAGGTTATGGCAACAGTTTATCCATCAAATGAATGCTAAAATGCTACATTAAAAAGTTTAGCTATCACAATGCCGTGAATTCATTGGATCACATCAGAGCATTATTGAATCAGTTTTCATCTAGTCTTATTCCCATATCAGTTTATACTACAGGATATATGCTTCATTGGCAGAGCTATTATATGCATATTTGATTGTAACAGAATGAAAGAACTGTATTAGAGACAAATAAAAAGTTACAGACAAAGCAACTCCCACACATTTGACAGTGTAACATGTTCTTCATTGGTTATCACAGTCATCTTATTTAACCAGACACCAATTAAATTGGAAAAATGCATTCCAAGCCACACAAAATTTTGGGAATTCAAAAATATTAAATATTTTTAAAAATCAAGGATATTATTTTGATGTCCTGCAGTATGTTTTGATACAAGATAATACATTCAGATGAAGAAATTTAAAAGTCAAAGGGCAGGACAAGTTAAACAAATAAACTCCAGGTGTCTGGTGTACAGCTAATATAAAATTAAGGGGAATGATCTCTCATGTTATTGTGGTTTTGCTGAGTTTGAAATTTGTGCTAACAATTCAAATAAGAGATGTAAGTAAACTACTAGAAAAGAAAAGGAGGTGAAAACATGAAAAAAATCATTACTGAAAATGTTTGGAAGAGCATAAAGACTTTTCTCCTCTAGTCTCCTTGTTTGCCTTTCTTGACCTACTTTATTTCTTAGAAAGTTTTAGCAGAAACTTAACTATTTTACAGATTAGCAAAGTTACTCCTTTTAGATATGACCCCATTTAATGGAAAATTGTAACCATGTGCTTTAGGTGCATTTTGTTTGAGGCAATTATGTTAAATATATCTCTTTGTCCTCAAAATCCTTGTTGTTCTTTGACTAATTCTTTATAAAACCCAAAAAATTATAGTCTGTGTCAAGCTGTGATACTGTGATCTCTTCCCATAGAGAAAAAGTTCATACTTGTTCTCCAGTTCACAGGCCCTCTGGGACAGCATCTGCCTCAGGCAGCAAGTTTGAGTAATACTGCACAGTGGACACCAAAGAGCCAAAAGCCCCACTGGAATTCAGAAGATGATGTATATGCTTATTCACACATTATTAAAAAAACAATGATTATAGCAATAACAAAGGAAAGACTGACAGGAACATGAACTGTATCACATAAACCTCATTTTCTCTTCAAGATGTTTATGTGGTCATCAATGTAGCAGAAATTTTGTGTATTCAGCGTCCAGGAACCCAGCACACTTAAAATAATCTCCTTATGAATATCCTTATAAATTTATATCCTTATAACTATAAGCTTTTATCACAACTTTGGTTGAATAGCTGTTTAGTCTAATATGTGTCCAGAATTCCCCAGAACCTTTGAAAATATTGTTGTGTTCTATGACCATGGTCAAATTTGTTGCTTAAACTGAAATTTGACCCTTTTATTGCACAAATATGAGAATAAGGTACACACTTTGCTGACTGATGAGCAAGATCACAGAGAAGCTTCCATACAAGAGTCCCCCTACTAATAATCTCAGTATCTTCATGAGCCATTGTTTGGACTGAAGTCTAAAAGAGTGAAGGAAAGAACCATGGAAACTGAGCAAAGTTAAAAAAAAAACCAAAACAAAAAAACCCCAGAGAACATTGGAGGCATCTACCAAACAAGCATGGTCATTTAGTTTTTCATGTCATACATGTTATCAGCTTTCCTTCAGGCCTGAAGTGGTGATTAGTTGATTTGAACCTTGGAGGAGAGAAAACAGTGTGTGATCTGTTGCTTGTTCCCATTTTCACTGTTTGCTTTTAGCCACTTTGTCACTAAAAACTGGAAGGAGTTAGAGGAATATAAGACCCTATTGTATTGTCACCATAAACTTCTTTCCCTGACAAAGACCATGCATTTTGCCATACTATAGAACCAAACTATCACATGCTTGCAATCTGTTGAATTTGTTGCTAGGCCTGAGTGAGTGGAAGGTCAGAGATTTGCTTCATTTCATAAACAATTTGACATCTATGTTTCTCAAATGTAAATGTTTTTATTCTAAAAATTAATCAGAATAAACTGAAAACAGCATTGAATTTAAATTGTATTTTATTGGGAATTTTTAACTCCCTCTAAAATTTTAGGAAAACAGTAGGGCAAATCTACAAGGCCTAATGAAGTACAGAAGAGTTTTGCTGGTTAGATCTGTTGTTTTTGCAGAGTCAAGCCCAGCAATTTTTATTTTGCTGAGTCATTTGTAGTTGGCAAGAGAAATGAGAAGTATAAAACACATCAATTTTGTAGATTTTTTTTCCTTTTTTTAACTAAAGATAATTATATCAGGCTCTCTACAGCTGATTCTCCTAATTCAAAATTTCTGATTATTGGTCTATTTGAGACAAGCCTGCAAAGTTTTGAGAATTTAGTGAGAAGAGTATTTGCAGGGCTCTCCACCTGATCCATTTCAACATGTAAGCGAACATAACTGGAACTCTGTTAGGTTTAGGTTAATGAGTTAGAAGGCCAGTTGTTATCAGTGTGTATTGTTTAAATCCCTGAAACATATTTTTATTTAGATAGATAAAGAGCAGTTTGAAAAAATCCTGGAGCTAATTGAGAGTGGAAAAAAAGAAGGAGCCAAACTGGAATGCGGAGGAGGTCCATGGGGAGAGAAAGGTTACTTCATCCAGCCCACAGTTTTTTCTAATGTTACAGATGATATGCGCATCGCCAAAGAAGAGGTAAATAAATATTCAACAGTCTGTATTCTCACTGGAGATCGTCTGTTTAAATATTTGTACAAAATATCAATTTAGAAGGTCAGTAGATTACATAAAAACATTCTTAGTGAATCTGTTGTTCCATCCTAATGTTGTTTAAAGTGCTTTAGTTAGTTTCTGATGCCTGTTTCACCAACTTGGTGGAGGTGAGCAAGAGAAGTATGTGGCTGACCTGCCAATAGAGGCTCCTACTTAAGGTGGTAGTAGATAAATTCTGAGATTCAGATTATTTGTATCACCCCATACTGCCCATGTCTCACATAGCACATTCACAGTGACCTGTGACAGAGAAGTAGACCTTGGAGGCAAAGCTGGTGAATATTTTAACCATATAAGGAGCCACTTAATTTGATGTTTGGACACAATATGCATGAAGCAGCTATTTTGCAATATGAGAAACTAGTTAGATTGTGCTTCCACAGGCATTTTGTTGGTGGAAATTACAGCAGAGCAGAGTTTTCCCTATGTGGGGTTATTTAATCTAGATCATGTTGCAGATTTGTCTACACACCATTGAAGAAGCTTTTACTGACTCAACTAAGGTGACTGTGCCAGGGCATCAGTGATCTTCTGCAAGGAATGGGAGAGAGTTAGAGGTGCAGAGCTGCTATGCCATTGAGAAAAACAGTTCTCTAAACACAGCCTCAAAGTCCAGTCATGACCTCTTCTCTCTGGATTTTTACATTCATCCTGATTAATAACTGCTGCAATTGGGCTGCATTATACTTCTTCATATTAGAAAGCTCCTTCAAAAGCCAAAGTATTGCTTTGCAAAGCCAGCAATACCACTGATGCAGTCTGCTGAACATCCCTAGTACACCCAGCAAGAGTCAACAGCTAGGGTTGATTGTGACAGAGTGTAAAACAGGAGAAAGGTGTGTGAGTTGGAATTTGGATTGTTTCTGCCATTCTAGTAGTCAGATAGGAAATTGCACTGTGGTATGGCATTTTTTGCAGTTCTACTAGTACATCTTTGGTCAGAAGCACAAGAACTGTTTCTCTCACATTATTTTGCGTGTACTGAACAATGAAAGCCCAGAGAGCTAGGGCAATTTAAAGAATATTGTTCTGGATGTAAGTTCTGGAGCTCACAGCTTGAACAGTGGGGAAATGTTCAGCGGTTTTCTGATCTATGTAAATCAATCCCTGCAATTCTAGCTAGAAACTAGCCCTAAAAACTCAGTCAAGTGGAAAGTTCCCAGTTTATAGGAATAGAAGTAATTACATGTTGCAATGCTCCCCCACCGTATGCTGTCTTGGCACTATGTGTTGGGCCTAGGCACCTCTGGCTGAGAAAACAGAGCGATAGCATGGGAAAGCTGAACCTGAGGGACTATTCATTTCACTTAACGCCCATATGGAAAGCAGAATTAGTTGCTTCCCTTGAAGTACATTCCCAGTTGTGTAGTTACCTGCAGAGATAAAGGTCTAACAGAAAATTAAGGGGAAGGAAAAACTGAATGTTTTTCTCAACTCTAAAACTGGAGCTTAACAAGGAAACACCAGTTTTTGGCAACCAGTATAGAGATGTAGCACACTGAGACACCATGTTAACTACCTTTTGGTGGTTATCTTTTAATCTTTATTTATTTGTCTTCATTTTTTATTCAATTATTTACTTCTTTGTATTAATCATTTTATCGTAGGCTATCTTGGTTTACTTCATATTGTAAAAGTCTTTATGTCAATTTATAATCTCTTGTAGAACTTTGTTCTGAACTGTACACTATTGACTGAATCAATTCAGTAATAAGACAATCTGACAAATCAAAATTTTAAAAAGATAAATTACTTCAAGTAGTAATTATGGTATGATTCATATGTTTATATGTATTTGATGCAGATATTTGGACCTGTTCAACAAATCATGAAGTTTAAGACTATAGATGAAGTTATCAAAAGAGCAAATAATACTACCTATGGCTTAGCAGCAGCAGTTTTTACCAAAGATATTGATAAAGCACTGACGTTTGCAGCTGCCCTTCAGGCTGGAACAGTATGGTACGTAATCATTATTTCAATTCTTCCTTTTGACCTGCAGGTGCAAATGGCACTAACTACAGGACATTTAACAGTTCTTTGGGTAGTATATTTTTATACTTAATCTTTGTCATCTTTATAGAGGTCGGTCA